TTGATTGATTTGCGGATGTTGAACCATCCCTGCGTCCCTGGTATAAATCCCACTTGATCGTGGTGTATGATTTTTTTTAATGTATTGCTGTATTCGGTTTGCCAAGATTTTGTTGAGCCTACCTGCATTTACAATTTGAGCACCATCTGAGCTTTGAGATCCCTGTTTTTAAAGTCTGTAACTCTTTGGTTCTCTGGTCTCTCCAGATTCACATGGAATGGCCCAGAAGTCTTCTCTGAGAACCTTTTCAGAAAGTAAATTATTTCAGTGTTGGAACTATCATCCAAGTCTGTGACCTGCCTTGTGAGCTCCACTGTCCAGTGTTCTCAGCTCCCTTCTAATGCCAGCACTTAAATAATGGCTCCTTGTCAATGATATTTATAAGGAATCCTAGGATCTTCCTGTGTGCCGACCTCTTCAAGGTTGGTGGTGGTAGTCAGTACTGATGCTCTGTTCATTGCATTAGGCTTAATGGCTTTTTCACAACCAGTTCAGAACATTTGGTATTACTGGCTTTAGTCTGCACCTTGAGAGGAAAAATTTCCCAGGAAAGTAAGTAGTTTCCATCAGAAAACTGATGTCTCTTAACAATCCTGCACGTTCTGCGGGTGAAAAAAACAAGTCCCCAGAAAGAGTATTATTTCCTCCAGATAATTGTGTATATAGTGAGTATTCTACTCCAGTCTGAAGAAGTTTCACTGGGTCCTCCTCAGCAACCTGGACTCTTACCACACATTAACCAGGGCATCTTTCCACATACCTTCTTTGCTCGTTGATTTACATGTAAATGGCTCTTCTGTGCATTCGCAGGAAAGGCTCCTTTCTGCCTTTGGAGAAATGGCAGAGGGCTCTTCTCTAGCCGGCGCTCGGGGTTCTAGATCTAGGTTCTTGGAGATACTGCTCACAAAAAGCCTTCTCCGTCCCCTCGGCATCAGACAGGGGAATCTTCTCGGACTCAGGCGCCCATTTGGTCACAAAGAGGTCGCAGAGCAGGGGTAGTCTTCAGTTCTGACTCTGGAGGCAGCCGCGGCACCATTAGTGTCTTCTATAGTGGATTATGAGATTTTACCACACACTATTCTTTATTTTCCTGTTCTCTGCTTCTGTTTTTGTGCTTGCCTCGCCACTTCCCTTTGCCATCTGGAGTCATAGCTGATGCGCGTCAGGAGCCTTGTTCTACTTCAAAGCATTGTTCCTCCAGATTGATTCTGTTCCGTTGCTGGAGCAGGACCAGGCGGGAAGTCTCCTGGGTTTTGGGGCTTTGGCTCCTTGAGAGAAGGTCTAAAGGCTTGGGTGAGGTTAAACATT